AGTCATTTAGCAGACGCTCTTATCCAGAGCGACATACAGTTAGTGAGTGCATACATTTTTCATACTGCCCCCCCCCCCCCCCCGTGGGAAACGAAACCCACAACCCTGGCGTTGCAAGTGCCATGTTCTACCAACTGAGCTACAGGGGACCATATGATGAGGAGTTAACTGTCTGAGACTTGAAGGCTTGTGTAAAGCTCCCCAAGCTGATGCCTAAGTTTTAACATTTAGCTCATAGAGCTAACAGAGTCCTGTGGTGCGCAGGAGATCATAGCTCGAAACAAGTCTGGCACGGCTGTGTATAGAGTGAGAGGTAGCCTAGAGATTAGAGAGGCAGACATTAAACTACCTGGGAAAAATCTGGTGGGATTGTTTTTTTTATATCCCATGTTATCTCCTGCCGTTGTGCCCTTGAGCAAGGCACGTTAAGGACCACTTCAGGGGAAGTTGACGCCACTATTTCAACTTAATTTTGTTTCCTAGAGAAGAAATGCACATTTAGGTTCCACCTATGAAGAATGATGAAGGCTACTTATACATATTCAGTAATTGGTGTGGGATTTTCTACATGGAGTTGATTAACATCAACAAATAGAGAACTCACAGCTGTCAGTGTAGCTAGCTAGCATTCTAACCTTATCTAGCTATCTTGCTAACCTTATAGCTAATGTTATCTGTTGGTGCTGAGGTTATCTTAACTACAATGTATAGCCAGTTGGCTCTATGGCTGGTTCTGATTTGTCATAAATATTGATTTAAGGAATACTTCTCCCCAGATGGAAACCACTGGCCTGTCTTTGACTTCACCACAGATGGAAACCACTGGCCTATCTTTGACATCACCACAGACGGAAATCACTGGCCTATCTTTGACTTCGCCACAGATGGAAACCACTGGCCTATCTTTGACTTCACCACAGATGGAAACCACTGGCCTTCTTTGACTTCCACACAGATGGAAACCACTGGCCTATCTTTGACTTCACCACAGATGGAAACCACTGGCCTTCTTTGACTTCACCCCAGATGGAAACCACTGCCTTGTCTTTGACTTCACCACAGATGGAAATCACTGGCCAATCTTTGACTTCACAAAAGTTGTAAACCACTGGCCTTCTTTGACTTCACCCCAGATGGACACCACTGGCCTATCTTTGATTTCACCACAGATGGACACCACTGGCCTATCTTTGACTTCACCACAGATGGAAACCACAGGCCTTCTTTGACTTCACCCCAGATAGAAACCACTGGCCTTCTTTGACTTCACCACAGATGGAAACCACTGGCCTTCTTTGACTTCACCCCAGTTGGAAACCACTGGCCTATCTTTGACTTCTCCCCAGATGGAAACCACTGGCCTATCTTTGACTTCGCCACAGATGGAAACCACTGGCCTATCTTTGACTTCACCACAGATGGTAACCACTGGCCTTCTTTGACTTCACCACAGATGGAAACCATTGGCTTTCTTTGACTTCACAAAAGTTGGAAACCACTGGCCTTCTTTGACTTCACCCTAGATGGAAACCACTGGCCTTCTTTGACTTCATCACAGATGGAAACCATTGGCTTTCTTTGACTTCACAAAAGTTGGAAACCACTGGCCTTCTTTGACTTCACCCCAGATGGAAACCACTGGCCTATCTTTGACTTCACCACAGATGGTAACCACTGGCCTTCTTTGACTTCACCACAGATGGAAACCATTGGCTTTCTTTGACTTCACAAAAGTTGGAAACCACTGGCCTTCTTTGACTTCACCCCAGATGGACACCACTGGCCTATCTTTGATTTCACCACAGATGGACACCACTGGCCTATCTTTGACTTCACCCCAGATAGAAACCACTGGCCTTCTTTGACTTCACCACAGATGGAAACCACTGGCCTTCTTTGACTTCACCCCAGATGGAAACCATTGGCCTATCTTTGACTTCACCACAGATGGAAACCACTGGCCTTCTTTGACTTCACCACAGATGGAAACCACTGGCCTTCTTTGACTTCACCACAGATGGAAACCACTGGCCTTCTTTGACTTCACCCCAGATGGAAACCACTGGCCTGTCTTTGACTTCACCACAGATGGACACCACTGTTCTTTTAACTTCACCCCAGATGGAAATCACTGGCCAATCTTTGACTTCACAAAAGTTGGAAACCACTGGCCTTCTTTGACTTCACCCCAAATGGAAACCACTGGCCTATCTTTGACTTCACCACATACGGAAACCTCTGGCCTTCTTTGACTTCACCCCAGATGGAAACCACTGGCCTATCTTTGACTTCACCACAGATGGAAATCACAGGCCGATCTTTGACTTCACAACAGTTGGAAATCACAGGCCAGTCTTTGACTTCACCACAGATGGAAACCGCTGGCCTATCTTTGACTTCACCCCAGATAGAAACCGCTGGCCTTCTTTGACTTCACCCCAGATGGAAACCACTGGCCTGTCTTTGACTTCACCCCAGATGGACACCACTGGCCTATCTTTGAGTTCACCACAGACGGAAATCACTGGCCTATCTTTGACTTCACCCCAGATGGAAACCACTGGTTTATCTTTGACTTCACCACAGATGGAAACCACTGGAATTTTTTGACTTCACCCCAGATGGAAACCACTGGCATATCTTTGACTTCACCCCAGATGGAAACCACTGGCCTTCTTTGACTTCCACCCAGATAGACACCACTGGCCTATCTTTGACATCACCACAGATGGAAAAAACTGCCCGATCTTTGACTTCACCACAGATGGACACCACTGGCATTTTTGACTTCACCCCAGATGGAAATCACTGGCCAATCTTTGACTTCACAAAAGTTGGAAACCACTGGCTTTCTTTGACATCACCCCAGATGGAAACCACTGGCCTATCTTTGACTTCACCACAGATGGAAACCATTGGCTTTCTTTGACTTCACCACAGATGGAAACCACTGGCTTATCTTTCACTTCACCACAGATGGAAACCACTGGCCTATCTTTCACTTCACCACAGATGGAAACCACTGGCCTATCTTTGACTTCACCAGAGACGGAAACCACTGGCCTTCTTTGACTTCACCACAGATGGAAACCAATGGCCTATCTTTCACTTCACCACAGATGGAAACCACTGGCCTATCTTTGACTTCACCAGAGACGGAAACCACTGGCCTTCTTTGACTTCACCACAGATGGAAAGCACTGGCCTTCTTTGACGTCACCACAGATGGGGTTTACAAAATGCTATCATATCACGCAATTATACCATTTATAAAATGATCAGACATATTTCATTTTTTAATCTCAAAAATAAGTGAAAATTGACAAATTATCCAATGGGATTATGATAATTTTTGGTAAAAACAGATGAGGAGCAAAAAACACACGTTTTCACACCCTGTTTTAATTTGCTCCGTGGCTCAGGCGGTCCAAGTGGACCCAAGGCTCTTTGGCTCATCTCAGTCGCAAAAAGTAATAACTTGGCAGCTGTTCCTGATTAATAAACAATGCCATGCTGGTGGGTGGTAATATTAAAATAAAACAAAGCCTTGAAATGAAACGTAAGCTGAAAATAATTAGTATGTCATATCATGGGAAAATACACGGCATTCACACGGATTTGCAGCAAGTGGGCAGGTCGGATTTGTCACTTCAAGCCTAAATAAATCACACTTTGACTAAAACGATGATTTATTCACTTAAATCGTTGCGCAACATCACGAGTAAGCTCTGGCCATCGAAAAAAAAGTGGGTTTCTACTGGTTTGGGCGTTTAAGGACTAAACTGCACATTCAGATAGGCAAGCACATTACTCTGACAGTGATACTTCAAGGGAAATAAATATGTTCCCATTTGGGACTCGGCCCAGCGCTCTATAGCTACCACCTGTGCTTCCAGTCTCTGTTCCAATGCACTTTTTTTTTTTTTTTTTGCAATAATTATCTTAACTTTCTTCTCTGCTTGCTTTCCAAAGTTTCTTACTTTGAAGGAAATGTTTTAAAATCTGGAAAACATTTCTTTTTGGCCACTAAAGCTTTGATATCACAGTTTGACCATATTGTATTGGTATTCAGCCTATTCTTTCTTTCATTCAGGAAATGCCTGGAATCACTATTCGATGCACCACCCCTCCGTTTAATTTACATTAGCAACCAAAGACCCTCCAGCTTTAACATGTTTTTATGTATAGCTTCATCCCTTACAATCGGGTGATGATTAATAACATTGTAACGATTAAAGTAATAATTTAGACTGTTTTATAGAGTTGGCTAAAGAGTGAATTGTTTTTTTATTGAAATTAGGCTATTTACATTGATTACATTCATAAAGATGCAATTGATTTAATTACATTATAAAGAAACCCCAGTACCACTGCAGTGGAATGTATAAATTATATTGTGTGCGTGCTGGAGATAAAACTGTAATGTGCTGTAATGTATGCCGTTATTTCGCATCAGTGTCTCTCCCTCTCTCCCTCCATCCATCCATCTCCATATGACAATACGATATGAAGAATATTAGATAACTGATGCGACTCCTAACCAACGCTCCAACACCTTCTGTAACCAAGGACATCTGGCCACTCTTGACCGACAGATGGTAGGCGGGACCCGGAGTCAACTTTCCAGCCCGGTGATTCGCTAAACGGAAAATTTTTCCAACTGTCAGTTTCCTGCTAGTCGCGGTTCAGAGTTTCTTGCCACCTCCCTCCCTTCAGACGTCGCGCGCGGCTCTTGGAGGAATCGAACTGTCTCCGGTACTTTCCTTGAAAGCCCGTCCACCTTCAGTCCAAAGGCTGATGATAAGGGAGAGAGGAGCAAGGGGCCCAGTTTGGCTCTAAAGAAGAAACCAGTTCTGTTTTTCACTTATGGCTTTGTTGTAGTAACAACAATTACCAACACACCGTTATTTTTGTGGATTTGTGGAAGGAAAAGGACCCACATTTTGTTCTGAACAGTCGCCCGTTTTTTTCACAAGCTTTGGGGCTCTGAGTGAGAGACCATGGAGATGCAAATATGGTCCACAGGGTGGAAAACGAAAAGGTGGCTTTTGAACCCCACTCTAACCACTGTCATCACGCTCACTTTCCTTCTGCAAGCCGTCAGTGTCCAAGCAGGTAAGGATATGTCGTTGGAGAACGCGTTTCTTTGAACCGTTCACCTCGCAAACTCTCCCTGGTGTTTCTTGGGGACATGCAGGGGCATCCTTTCGCCTCAGGGGTTGGCTTATCAAGTGATGACATAGGTCTATAGGCCAGTGCCACACTCACTGCGCTGTGCTGCTGAGGTTGACAGCAAACTGAAAGAAAAATGGAGCCAACTAATGTCATGCCAGTGTCTAAAATGCATGACTTAAGTGTCACCACATGTGAATCCATGATCAAATATAAGAATGTTCCAAATATGGCCAGTGCCACCCTTTTTTATAATGTGTGTGTGTGTAAATTGCGATGTGAAATCCTCTCGTTAGCCTACATTCCAGCCAGTGATGCTACGGCCCTTCAGCGGTAAACACCAGCGATATTCATACAGGTGCGCTCGAACGGCCTCCCAGATGATATCGCTCCGCTCCCATCGTGATACCCCAAAATAGCGGCTCGTACGTGGCATTCTGTTGTTGCGGCATTACCAATCTAACTGCGCCCAGGACGCTCTCGTGCGAATGTGTTAAATGGTTTAGGCAGACAAATAGTCTTTGTGTGTCCCCGTGGTCCGCTGTATGTGGACACAGCTATCGAGAGAGGGATTCCATAGGGTTGAGGTAGCAATCTCACACCTTGGCTATAGAATCCTCTAGCCATTGCATAGCTACAGGTTTTTTGCGTTGTTTTGATAGGTAAGGTCAGAGTATTGATAAGACTATCCCCACCTTTCCAATGGAACCGCGTAATACGGACGGCCACGACTTTTTACGCATGAGTGTGTAGAGTTTGGCAGACGGCACAGCAGCCGTAGGCGCTCGGTGGTTTAAAACTGAGACAGATTTGTTATAACTTTCCACACATTAATTATTAACTGGAACTATATGCTGGTTTTGAAACGTATCAATTGATTTGACCTATTTTATCTTGCCAAAAAATATTTGTATACATTTTAACGCCATACTCTTCCAAAGTCTCTGTCAATAATATGCTATACCACCGTGACATCCTCGATGTGCATTTAGCATTCTGTATCAATTCACTCAATTTGACAATTTTTTAAGGTATTTTCCTATATGGTTTCAGGATATTTTAAAGTGATTCATAGGCTGTTCACACAAACGGTATGAGGCACTGTTGTTCCACAAGATAATATGCTGCTGCTTATAGGCAGTACTGTCGTCTATGGGGCGATGCTCTCTCTATAATATATTGTAGGAGTGAAATACATATAGAGGCCAGAAGTAGAAAACACAGTTTCTCCACTACACCCTGGTTACCACTAAGCCCAATAAGTCTCCACTCCACCCTGGTTACCACTAAGCCCAATAAGTCTCCACTCCACCCTGGTTACCACTAAGCCCAATAAGACTCCACTCCACCCTGGTTACCACTAAGCCCAATAAGTCTCCACTCCACCCTGGTTACCACTAAGCCCAATAAGTCTCCACTCCACCCTGGTTACCACTAAGCCCAATAAGTCTCCACTCCACCCTGGTTACCACTAAGCCCATAAGTCTCCACTCCACCCTGGTTACCACTAAGCCCAATAAGTCTCCACTCCACCCTGGTTACCACTAAGCCCAATAAGTCTCCACTCCACCCTGGTTACCACTAAGCCCAATAAGTCTCCACTCCACCCTGGTTACCACTAAGCCCAATAAGTCTCCACTCCACCCTGGTTACCACTAAGCCCAATAAGTATCCACTCCACCCTGGTTACCACTAAGCCCAATATGTCTCCACTCTACCCTGGTTACCACTAAGCCCAATAAGTCTCCACTCCACCCTGGTTGCCACTAAGCCCAATAAGTCTCCACTCCACCCTGGTTACCACTAAGCCCAATAAGTCTCCACTCCACCCTGGTTACCACTAAGCCCAGTAAGTCTCCACTCCACCCTGGTTACCACTAAGCCCAATAAGTATCCACTCCACCCTGGTTACCACTAAGCCCAATAAGTCTCCACTCCACCCTGGTTACCACTAAGCCCAATAAGTCTCCACTCCACCCTGGTTACCACTAAGCCCAATAAGTCTCCACTCCACCCTGGTTGCCACTAAGCCCAATAAGTCTCCACTCCACCCTGGTTGCCACTAAGCCCAATAAGTCTCCACTCCACCCTGGTTACCACTAAGCCCAATAAGTCTCCACTCCACCCTGGTTACCACTAAGCCCAATAAGTCTCCACTCCACCCTGGTTGCCACTAAGCCCAATAAGTCTCCACTCCACCCTGGTTACCACTAAGCCCAATAAGTATCCACTCCACCCTGGTTACCACTAAGCCCAATAAGTCTCCACTCCACCCTGGTTACCACTAAGCCCAATAAGTCTCCACTCCACCCTGATTACCACTAAGCCCAATATGTCTCCACTCTACCCTGGTTACCACTAAGCCCAATAAGTCTCCACTCCACCCTGGTTGCCACTAAGCCCAATAAGTCTCCACTCCACCCTGGTTACCACTAAGCCCAATAAGTCTCCACTCCACCCTGGTTACCACTAAGCCCAGTAAGTCTCCACTCCACCCTGGTTACCACTAAGCCCAATAAGTCTCCACTCCACCCTGGTTACCACTAAGCCCAATAAGTATCCACTCCACCCTGGTTACCACTAAGCCCAATAAGTCTCCACTCCACCCTGGTTACCACTAAGCCCAATAAGTCTCCACTCCACCCTGGTTACCACTAAGCCCAATAAGTCTCCACTCCACCCTGGTTACCACTAAGCCCAATAAGTATCCACTCCACCCTGGTTACCACTAAGCCCAATAAGTCTCCACTCCACCCTGGTTACCACTAAGCCCAATAAGTCTCCACTCCACCCTGGTTACCACTAAGCCCAATAAGTCTCCACTCCACCCTGGTTACCACTAAGCCCAATAAGTCTCCACTCCACCCTGGTTACCACTAAGCCCAATAAGGGGTGTTGATGGAAATAGTTATCTAATCTGTGTCTAACTCCCTCTTCAACCCCCTTTAAACTAGCCTACAGTATATCTGGATCAGGATGATTGCTTATTTCCCTTGATTGTGGATATTATGAAATTAATATTGGTTAGTCTCTGCTGTTATGTATGTGTTGATTCTGTTTAGTTTACTTTGATATTGTGAGCTAAGGCAGCAAGTCAACACCAATAGCAGAACCATGCCTATATGATTGGAATGTATTCTAAGCACATCAAATCTACCCAGAGGTTTTGGGAAGGGGTGCCATGAATCTATGGGTCTATCATTGTGTCTACAGGCGTTTTAACTTACCATTTGTTTGCCTTTGCTGATTCGATGCCCACACATATCACAGTAGCCCAGGTTGAATTACATCACCTAATCAAGATATTGATTGACTACAGAACATTTGCGTCACTTACGTTTACGTCATTCAGCAGACGCTCTTATCCAGAGCGACTTGCAGAACCCAAACAGTACCTTACATTTACAGTCTAGCTGTTATTTCTAAAGAGGTTCCGTCCATGTAAGGTTCCATCTTGGGTGAAATGGGGCGTCTGTCTGTGATGTCAGCTGATATCTACGATTTGGTGACCACAACTTCCTCTAGCCAGGATGATATGCCTTCTGTCTGGACAGTTCCTGTGGTTGGAATGTCCTGTGCACCCAACCCTCCCCCCCCAAACTCCGCCCTTCTCTTTCCACCCCTCACCCTCCCTTTGAATACATTGTAGATGACTAACAATTTTATCATTTGGAGACATTATTCCAGATAGCCTGTTGAACTAGATACCCATCCATAATGGAATACCACGCTACCACACGGGCATGGCTTGCCCCTCATCGCCCATCTATCCTCCTCCTCCTCCTCCTCCTCCTCCTCCTCCTCCTCCTCCTCCTCCTCCTCCTCCTCTTCCTCCTCCTCCTCTTCCTCCTCCTCCTCCTCCTCCTCCTCCTCCTCTTCTTCCTCCTCCTCCTCCTCCTATGTGTGTGATGTTTAAACAGCCAGAATTGCATAATGTGACTAGCAAACATTTACAGGCTTTCCAGGACACTGTAATTGCTATTTATGCTGCCAACTCTGGATAGATGGTGGTGACAAGAAACAGCACAGAGAGATTATAGCCTACTTCTCATGATGTTAGTTACACCAACCCAAAGAGCCCCAAAGCCACAGAGCCTAAAGGCAAAGTTAATCGCCAAAGGCAAGCAAAATTTGAGTATCACTCTTTGGTAGGAAAGCATAGTGGAAAGAGTCTGGAAAGAGATACTTCCAGATTGTGATTTCATTAATTTAGTCTCAACCTGAAGGGGATACTTTTCCTTTACGGCTTTATCCAAAATAGGCATTTGAACACTGAAAGTGTTAACAATCATAGCAGTCCAACACTGAAAGTGTGACAAGAACCAACCCAAGACTGTTCTGTTTAAGGTTATAGTTTGAGAACTGTATTGCTGCTGTGGTAAACGGCTTGTCTCAAATGTCTCTACCAGATGTATCGCGTGTCCGCACGTGCTCCGTTTGGTTTCTTCAGCCTGGAGAGAAATGTGCTTCTCAGCTCTCCCTTAGCAGTGTCTCAGGCCTGTTAACATGACACACAGTGGATCTGCATCCCAAATGGCACCCTATGCCCTACATACAGTAGTGCACTATGTAGGGAATAGTGGTGCCATTTGGCTCTGGTCAAAAGTAGTGCACTGTGTAGGGAATAGGGGTGCCATTTGGCTCTGGTCAAAAGTAGTGCACTGTGTAGGGAATAGGGGTGCCATTTGGCTCTGGTCTAAAGTAGTGCACTATGTAGGGAATAGGGGTGCCATTTGGCTCTGGTCAAAAGTAGTGCACTATGTAGGGAATAGGGGTGCCATTTGGCTCTGGTCAAAAGTAGTGCACTGTGTAGGGAATAGGGGTGCCATTTGGCTCTGGTCAAAAGTAGTGCACTATGTAGGGAATAGGGGTGCCATTTGGCTCTGGTCAAAAGTAGTGCACTATGTAGGGAATAGGGTGCCATTTGGCTCTGGTCAAAAGTAGTGCACTATGTAGGGAATAGGGTGCCATTTGGGAAGCAGACAGAAAGTATATCACAGCTCCCTGACAGCAGACAGGCGGCAGAGGACTGTCAGGTATATCACAGGTCCCTGACAGCAGACAGGCAGCAGAGGACTGTCAGGTATATCACAGCTCCCTGACAGCAGACAGGCGGCAGAGGACTGTCAGGTATATCACAGCTCCCTGACAGCAGACAGGCAGCAGAGGACTGTCAGGTATATCACAGCTCCCTGACAGCAGACAGGCAGCAGAGGACTGTCAGGTATATCACAGCTCCCTGACAGCAGACAGGCGGCAGAGGACTGTCAGGTATATCACAGCTCCCTGACAGCAGACAGGCGGCAGAGGACTGTCAGGTATATCACAGCTCCCTGACAGCAGACAGGCGGCAGAGGACTGTCAGGTATATCACAGCTCCCTGACAGCAGACAGGCGGCAGAGGACTGTCAGGTATATCACAGCTCCCTGACAGCAGACAGGCAGCAGAGGACTGTCAGGTATATCACAGCTCCCTGACAGCAGACAGGCAGCAGAGGACTGTCAGGTATATCACAGGTCCCTGACAGCAGACAGGCGGCAGAGGACTGTCAGGTATATCACAGCTCCCTGACAGCAGACAGGCGGCAGAGGACTGTCAGGTATATCACAGCTCCCTGACAGCAGACAGGCGGCAGAGGACTGTCAGGTATATCACAGCTCCCTGACAGCAGACAGGCGGCAGAGGACTGTCAGGTATATCACAGCTCCCTGACAGCAGACAGGCAGCAGAGGACTGTCAGGTATATCACAGCTCCCTGACAGCAGACAGGCGGCAGAGGACTGTCAGGTATATCACAGGTCCCTGACAGCAGACAGGCGGCAGAGGACTGTCAGGTATATCACAGCTCCCTGACAGCAGACAGGCGGCAGAGGACTGTCAGGTATATCACAGCTCCCTGACAGCAGACAGGCAGCAGAGGACTGTCAGGTATATCACAGGTCCCTGACAGCAGACAGGCGGCAGAGGACTGTCAGGTATATCACAGCTCCCTGACAGCAGACAGGCAGCAGAGGACTGTCAGGTATATCACAGCTCCCTGACAGCAGACAGGCAGCAGAGGACTGTCAGGTATATCACAGCTCCCTGACAGCAGACAGGCGGCAGAGGACTGTCAGGTATATCACAGCTCCCTGACAGCAGACAGGCAGCAGAGGACTGTCAGGTATATCACAGCTCCCTGACAGCAGACAGGCGGCAGAGGACTGTCAGGTATATCACAGCTCCCTGACAGCAGACAGGCAGCAGAGGACTGTCAGGTATATCACAGCTCCCTGACAGCAGACAGGCAGCAGAGGACTGTCAGGTATATCACAGCTCCCTGACAGCAGACAGGCGGCAGAGGACTGTCAGGTATATCACAGCTCCCTGACAGCAGACAGGCGGCAGAGGACTGTCAGGTATATCACAGCTCCCTGACAGCAGACAGGCAGCAGAGGACTGTCATTAATATGTGAAGAGGATTGTTAGTTTACTTCTAAGACATCCAGTTTAGATAGACAACATGCCGATGAGTGACTGGGACTTGTACTATTTAACTGTAGTCAAATACCTTTTCCTTCTATGGGGGTTTCTGCCACTTATCATTATATAGAATATGGTTTATACTCAGCATAGGGGAGCGGAAGGATAGATGGCTGTATCCAAGTTGTCTCAAACTAGTCACACATAGCACTCTGCCTCCCTCCTCTGAAGGATGCGCTGCTTTTTTGAAGCTGTAGAATGTTTATGTAGTGCTGCTAAAGGATTTTGGGATATTGCATGTTTTTTTTTTTTTGCGCTTCTGTGAGGAGGTGGTTTGGATGGAAAGGGGGGAGGGATGGAGGGAGGGATAGAGGGAGGGATGGAGGGAAGAGGGGAGAAGAGGGGGGCGAGCCCTGGCCAATTCAACACATCTGGAATATATGAGCCCTGGAGGTATGCAGTAATGCAGAAAGGCATTCTCCAGCTCACAAAGAGGCCTTTGGTTCAGCATGATTCTCTTTTTTTTCAGAACCAGTAGCTCAGCACTCGGGACAATATACAGACGAGCTGGAGACTTTTTTAGGTTTTATGGGGCATTTTCTAGAGGGGAGAGATTTTTTTAAACTTCTCGTGAAGTTATCTCATAACTTGACTTTTATTAGTTCTGTTTGGGTTAAAGTACAGTGAGTACTGCGGGACTCTTATTGGGGTCCTCAGAGAGAAATTAAGCTGAACTGTCCAGTCATTCCTTTATGTCAAAATTCCATTAAACTCTACACAAAGGCAGTAATAAAGCTACGGGAATGGAATGTAAAGTGAGACTGAGGGCTCTATTTTCGGCTGGTGCTAAGGAGGTGCAAGTGTCAAACGCACGTTAGTTTTCAATTTCGTCATGTAAAAAATTGGCGCACTTGCATTTTTCCAGCCCTAACGCCAGGTTCGGCAATTGACCTGTCTAACACCAGCTTGCTTGGGCTGAGGCGGGAGGGGTGGAAATATTTGATGTGTGTCCTTAAAGGAAAGATTAACCCATTTTGAATGTTACATAGTTTTTTTTTTTGTGCATCTCTGTGCGATGTTCTATCAATTTCCGGGGTCATTTCATATTTTCATGTGTATCCAAGCTACTGCCGTTCAAGCAGTCAAAAAATGTGGCCGGTACGACGTAGCGTTGCGATAAAGCCGCTCTCACTACACTGGAAGTTAATAAGAATATGACTTTTAGATGGCAAAAACCTAGAGAAATGTATAATTTAACAGAGGGTCCACCACATTTTCCCTTTAAAAACAAGCGCAAAAGTGACAATTTCATGCAGCGCTAATGGGACGTTTTCAGACCCACAAAAGCAGGTCTTAACAGTTGATAATGGCGTGTATTTTGAGAGTAGAAGCGCAGCCTATCCAGCCATGACGCACAGTGGAAGGAGAGATGTGATTTTTGTGCCATCAAATATCTTTTTTTTATTTATTTTTTTTCCGTTTAATTTGATTAAAAACCAAGCACAGCCTCCCCTCCCCTTAATCAAGGCTGGTTTAGCAGCATCGTATAGGTGCGTATTTTTTATCCTGGCCGTTAGCCAAAAGTAGCCTTTGAGTAAAGGGATTTTAAATGGTATACTTAAGAGTGCTTGGAAATATTTTGGAGGTTTTTGCCCTCGCACATAGGCAACAAAAACAATTGACAGGAGCCTAGTATTTTGTATAGACGTGCAAACGTTATGCATAAAGACATTTAGTCATATGTGTGCACACAGTGCCATGGAACGAGATGAATAGATTTATGATATCATGCTTTTAAGTTTTGGATGTGCGCGGATATCCCATCAGGTAGCCTGATTTCAGATGTGTCACGTAATCAAGATTATTAGGGAAATCGTTCTTCTTGCACAGCGTGTAAAAGTTGAAATGTAAACATATGATATAAATCTGACTATCCACAGTGATCGTATTGTTGTATGCTTAGTCAGTGTAGGGCCGTGGTCCTGTCGGACACCGGGATCGTCTCGTAACACCAGCCACACACACTACACGATAAAGGCAACACATTTCTGACGCTGCCAGAAGTGTGGATGTGTGTAAAACTCTCCATAGTCTAAGTTGCCCGTGTCTGTATTATTATGGTACCTGTGGCTATATTTAGATATAGCCTATTTAAAACATGATGTTGTTTCATTTTCATTCGAATTTGATTAGAATTATACACTGTCTTTTTATGCCTTATCAATAGCCTAGTGAATTTAATCTTGCTTATTGACTATGTCTGGCATGTCCATCTCCAGACTACAATTTACACTAGGCCTAGCCCCTATATCAGTGTGAATGCTATAGCCTATGTTTAACAAATGTATATCCATATTGAAGCAATGCAACAACGCAATTAGAACAATGTGGACTGCAAACATGTTCAACATATTTAGCAAATATGGAGCTGGCTATTTAATGAACTAAGACTATAACAGACTAACATTAGAATTGGAGTTGATGACAACTCAATACATAATGGACTGTAAGCATGTAGCACGTTCTGATTGGCCAGTGAGGGGCCAAGCCTCGACACACCCAAAAATGGTTTATTCGTCGAAGCCCAGCACTTCCACGCCACTGCCAGCTACTGCACCCATAATACCGGTTGTGAAAATAGCAAAATTACAGTATTTCTGACACCCCCATTAATCTATAACTCTACCGCCAGCACTGAGATTTACCATTGAATTAGGTTTGTTAAAACAGAGCCCTGACTGTCCATAATGTTGTCTTGAGACCATTTCTTTAGACCTTGGTTCCTCTTTTACATTACAAAATAAGAGTACCATTTCCTAAACAAAGATGAGTTAGATCAAGCACCCAGAAGAGTGGTTTCTGGTAATGTGTGAGCTGAGAGGACGTTATTAGTTCTGCTAATGTGTGAGCTGAGATGATGTTATTAGTTCTGGTAATGTGTGAGCTGAAAGGATGTTATTAGTTCAGGTAATGTGTGAGCTGAGATGATGTTATTAGTTCTGGTAATGTGTGAGCTGAAAGGATGTTATTAGTTCAGGTAATGTGTGAGCTGAGAGGACGTTATTAGTTCAGGTAATGTGTGAGCTGAGAGGACGTTATTAGCTCATTATGTCTTATAATAAAGAAGGGGAGAGTGTTATGTGTGTGTGTGAGAGAGAGAGAGAGAGAGAGAGAGCGAGAGAGAGCGAGAGAGAGCGAGAGAGAGCGAGAGAGAGAGAGAGAGAGAGATAGAGAGAGAAATAGAAAGAGAGACAGACATAGAGAGGGAGAGAGAGAGACAGAGTAGATAGAGAGAGATAGAAGAGAGAGAGAAGAGAGAGTGAGAGAGATATTTATAGTATTTCCTATCTATCTATATATAAATCTATATATAGATTCTCTCTACTATTGGTATACGTATCTCGATATATACTCATTATGGAGATATATATATATATACTTATAGAGATAGATACATACTGTAGTAATCTAGATAGATTAGTCTACGAACAGACATATAGCATAATACATAGAGACATACAGAGAACAGATACATATATACGAGAGATAGATATCGAATAGTAGATATAGAGTGTGGGTATAGGATTGTTTCCATGCCTCCTAATGTGTTCAGCATGTTGACTAGCCACGCCCCCAGGACCCCCACCTGGCCTCCAAGCAGGAACAGGAAACGTCAAGATCCGCACTTCCTGTCCTCAACCAGCCAGATGTTGCTTGGGAAATTATGAAAATATAATATCATAAAAAATGTAAACAGTGATATTTTTTTGGGGTGATAAAATCAGATAATTTATACCCCTCTTTATGAATAGGTGTGGTTGAAATGAAATTCGAGTAGAAGAAATGTCTGCAGAGTCATAATAATTCTCTTCTATGCTTCTGTCCAAAGTCAACAGTGTCTTTCTAATCGGCAAAATCGAGAACAACTAAACTCTAACGTCCTTTAATTTTAGAGAAGAGGTCCTTTGACGAAGTTAATCATCCCTAGGCTAAAATCAAAGTTTAACTATTAAGTCTCAAATACAACACATTATTCTGAGTCTGGACTGACTTTTTCTAAAGTTTCTAAAGTCCTGTATATCTAAAGTCCCCGTTAGTTGTTATTATTTTTTTTCCCTATTCCTATGAAAATTTAGACTGGAAAAGGGGAGTGGAAAGGAGAGAAGAAGAGAAGAAATACAAACAGAGGATTTTATAATTGGACTTGGGTAGAGATATATCTACCTCCCCTATCTACTACTCCTTCCTTAACAAATAGCGTAAAGGGATAAGAAAATGGATATTTTAAAACTTTTAATTTTTCCCCTCGTTAGACTTTTATTTTAAATTTTATCCTAACCCTTATCTCACCCTTTTGTTTTATCATGGGCCCAAAGGTTTTTATAGTTTTTTCCCCCCTTGGCTCATCTCTTCTCCCCTCTCTTTCTTTTCCCTCCCCCCCTCGCTCTCGCTTTTCCTCTTCCTTCTTCTCTTTTCCGCTTCTACCCCCGTCCTCTCTCCTCCCCTAATTGTTTTCTCCCTCTCTCTTCCCTCCCCCCTCTTCCCTTTCCCTTTTTCCCCCCCCCACTCCCCCCCCCCCAAACTTATTATTATTCCTCCTTCCATGGATCTTGGCCTAACTTTATCATTTACTTTAGGTCGTCCTGTGAGTGCCAGACATATCATGGCTTTATAGAAAGCTTCATATAAGCTCTGTAAACTACTTTCCTCCCAGAGCAAATAGAGATAGAGAGATAGAGAGGATATGAGATAGAGAGATAGAGAGAGAGAATAGAGAGATAGAGAGAAATATATAAGACAGACGACAGAACCAGAAGAGAGAAGAGAGAGAGATAGAGAGAGAGAGAGAGAGAGAGACAGACAGACAGACATACAGGTATTAGTTAGATGTGAGGAGGGATAGATTAATACGATAGTAAAGAGATGTGATAGAGTATGAAGCTCGCGTCTCTCTACTCGCTCTCATCTCTCTCATTCTCTACTCTCTCTGTCCTCCGCTTTTAACGTCACTTCGTAGCTCTCTCTCCTCTACTCTCTCGCTCTCACTGCGCTCTCTCTCCTCTCTCTCTCTCTCTCTCGTCTCTCCTCCTCTCTCTCTCTCTCTCCTCCCTCTCTCTCGCTCTGCCATCATCTCTCCGCCACTCTAGATGTAGATCTACTCACGATAAGAGTCGCTCTCAACTATCTTATATAGATTATAATCCATTTCATAGAATCAGACAGATACATATCGATCGATAGCCATTATCTATTATTTGTGACTACAGAGATATGGAAGATATAGGGTATAGTTACAGAGGTAGAGAATATCTAGACAACAGGATAGAGAATAACCAACGATAGAGACACACCGAGTAGAGAGAAGAGAGAGAGAGAGAGGCAGAGCGGATCAAAACGTCTTCCTGTTACTTTAACTTGGTCAATGGATTCAACACACTGAGAACCCCATTAGTTTGTATCACCACTTCAGTCAGGTCACTTATTAAATTCCTTCTTTGAGTGAGATTTCCTATGTTAGAAGATCGCATATCTCTAGATCTACAAAGACTGCAGTCAAATGTATAATGCTTCCACTGTTAATAGATCAAACGCTCTGAGATTAACCCCGTTTTTTTATCATCAGTATAGTTCAGTGAGAATTTGGCATAATAACTTCAAATCCAATAAAATGTTATTTGTCACATGCTTCATAAACAACAGGTATAGACTATCAGTGAAATGCTTCCTTAAGGGCCCTTCCCAACAATACAGAGAGAAAGAAAATAGAGAAATAATTGAACAGTAAAACACGTAATAATAAATACATTATGAGTACCGATAACATGGCTGTATACACAGGGTACCAGTACCGAGTCGATATGCAGGGGTACGAGGTAATAACATGGCTATATACACAGGGTACCAGTACCAAGTCCATGTGCAGGGGTACGAGGTAATAACATGGCTGTATACACGGGGTACCAGTACCGAGTCGATGTGCAGGGGTACGAGGTAATTGAGGTAGATATGTACTGTACATATAACTAGGAATACAGTGACAGATAATAAACAGTAGCAGCAGCGTATGTGATGAGTCAAAAGTGTTAGTGCAAAAATGGTCAATGCAGATAGTCCGGGTAGCTATTTGGTTAACTATTTAACTAACTCCTTTTGCAGTTTTATGGCTTGGGGGTAGAAGCTGTTCAGGGTCCTGTTGGTTCCAGACTTGGTGCATCGGGAACCGCTTGCCGTGCGGTAGCAGAGAGAACAGTATGTGACTTGGGTGGCTGGAGTCTTTGACAATTTGTAGGGCCTTCCTCTGACACCGCCTGGTATAGAGGTCCTGGATGGCAGGGAGCTCGGCCCAAGTGATGTACTGGGCCGTCCACAATACCCTCTGTAGCGTGTTGCGGTCGGATGCCAAGCAGTTGCCATACCAAGCGATGATGCAACCAGTCAAGATGTTCTAAATGGTGTAGCTGTAGACATTTTTTTAGGATCTGAGGGCCCTTGCCAAATATTTTCAGTCTCCTGAGGGGCAAGCGGCGCTTTCGTGTTTTGACTATGATAGATCCTTAGTGATGTGGACACCGAGGAACTGGAAGCTCTTGACCCGGTCCCCTACAGCCTTGTCGATGTGAATGGGGGCGTGCTCAGCCCTCCGTTTCCTCTAGATTCTTCTTTGAGTGAAATTTTGGGACCAAACCGTTAGGCCTATTCTTAAACTGTCGGTGGATCCAACTTTCTGAGAACCTGGCTGATCTTTTATCATCAATTCAGTGAGATCTTATATATCATATTAAATTCCTCCTTCTAGTAGCCTGTGTCTTATCTGTGTCTTTCTATGAAGACTCTAGACTAGAGAGGCTTTAGACCCATTGTTTATTATCACGGCTACTTTGGAAGGAGCTGCTTCCTGTCTGTTGACCCGGTAACAGAAGGACAAAGGGGTGACATAGGGGTGATGTAAGGGATGGACTGGGACCAGAAATCACCCCGGGCATTTATAACACACCGGCCCATTTTTTCCACTCGTGGCCCCCATTATTAGCCAAATAATAATACTTTTGCACCAAAGCCCCAATTTAGACAGGCCCACTGGGTTACAAATGGAGCCGGCCATCTGGCGTTTTGCTCTGAAATGCCCTATGTTCAGTCCGCCCCTGTACAGGGTTGATGTAAGGGTGACATAGGGGTTTTCTGTCCAGACAAGATTATCCCATGTTGTTGGGGATGGCTGGATGGCTGCATGGCTGGATGGCTGGATGGCTGGATGGCTGGATGGCTGGATGGCTGCATGGCTGGATGGCTGGATGGCTGGATGGCTGCATGGCTGGATGGCTGGATGGCTGGATGGCTGGATGGCTGGATGGCTGGATGGCTGGATGGCTGAATGGCTGGATGGCTGGAGGAGAATCTTCTGATGTTTGTTCTGGGTTTAGTTGGTCTTATAAGATGAGGGGTTCAGAGACAAGGGCTGCATTCCAAACGGCACCCTATTTCCTATTTAGTCTAAAGTAGTGCACTACATAGGGAATAGGGTGCCATTCTCTGGTCTAAAGTAGTGCACTACATAGGGAATAGGGTGCCATTCTCTGGTCAAAAGTAGTGCACTACATAGGGAATAGGGTGCCATTCTCTGGTCAAAAGTAGTGCACTACATAGGGAATAGGGTGCCATTCTCTGGTCTAAAATAGTGCACTATATAGGGAATAGGGTGGCATTCTCTGGTCTAAAGTAGTGCACTATATAGGGAATAGGGTGCCATTCTCTGGTCTAAAGTAGTGCACTATGTAGGGAATAGGGTGCCATTCTCTGGTCTAAAGTAGTGCACTATGTAGGGAATAGGGTGCCATTCTCTGGTCTAAAGTAGTGCACTATATAGGGAATAGGGTGGCATTCTCTGGTCTAAAGTAGGGCACTATGTAGGGAATAGGGTGCCATTCTCTGGTCTAAAATAGTGCACTATATAGGGAATAGGGTGATATTCTCTGGTCTAAAGTAGTGCACTACATAGGGAATAGGGTGCCATTCTCTGGTCAAAAGTAGTGCACTACATAGGGAATAGGGTGCCATTCTCTGGTCTAAAATAGTGCACTATATAGGGAATAGGGTGGCATTCTCTGGTCTAAAGTAGTGCACTATATAGGGAATAGGGTGCCATTCTCTGGTCTAAAGTAGTGCACTATGTAGGGAATAGGGTGCCATTCTCTGGTCTAAAGTAGTGCACTATGTAGGGAATAGGGTGCCATTCTCTGGTCTAAAGTAGTGCACTATATAGGGAATAGGGTGGCATTCTCTGGTCTAAAGTAGGGCACTATGTAGGGAATAGGGTGCCATTCTCTGGTCTAAAATAGTGCACTATATAGGGAATAGGGTGGCATTCTCTGGTCTAAAGTAGTGCACTACATAGGGAATAGGGTGCCATTCTCTGGTCAAAAGTAGTGCACTACATAGGGAATAGGGTGCCATTCTCTGGTCTAAAATAGTGCACTATATAGGGAATAGGGTGGCATTCTCTGGTCTAAAGTAGTGCACTATATAGGGAATAGGGTGCCATTCTCTGGTCTAAAGTAGTGCACTATGTAGGGAATAGGGTGCCATTCTCTGGTCTAAAGTAGTGCACTATGTAGGGAATAGGGTGCCATTCTCTGGTCTAAAGTAGTGCACTATATAGGGAATAGGGTGGCATTCTCTGGTCTAAAGTAGGGCACTATGTAGGGAATAGGGTGCCATTCTCTGGTCTAAAATAGTGCACTATATAGGGAATAGGGTGGCATTCTCTGGTCTAAAGTAGTGCACTATATAGGGAATAGGGTGCCATTCTCTGGTCTAAAGTAGTGCACTATGTAGGGAATAGGGTGCCATTCTCTGGTCTAAAGTAGTGCACTATGTAGGGAATAGGGTGCCATTCTCTGGTCAAAAGTAGTGCACTACATAGGGAATAGGGTGCCATTCTCTGGTCTAAAATAGTGCACTATATAGGGAATAGGGTGGCATTCTCTGGTCTAAAGTAGTGCACTATATAGGGAATAGGGTGCCATTCTCTGGTCTAAAGTAGTGCACTATGTAGGGAATAGGGTGCCATTCTCTGGTCTAAAGTAGTGCACTATATAGGGAATAGGGTGCCATTCTCTGGTCTAAAGTAGTGCCCTATGTAGGGAATAGGGTGCCATTTTCTTTCTATTTATTTCTATATTTTGTATCTTTACCTCTGCATTGTTGGAAAAGGGGTACCAGTACCGAGTCGATGTGCAGTGGTACGAGGTAATTGAGGTAGATATGTACTGTACATATAACTAGGAATACAGTGACAGATAATAAACAGTAGCAGCAGCGTATGTGATGAGTCTAAAAAGATGGTCAATGCAGATAGTCTGGGTAGCTATTTGGTTAACTATTTAACTAACTATTTAGCAGTCTTATGGCTTGGGGGTAGAAGCTGTTCAGGGTCCTGTTGGTTCCAGACTTGGTGCATCGGGAACTGCTTGCCGTGCGGTAGCAGAGAGAACAGTCTGTGACTTGGGTGGCTGGAGTCTTTGACCATTTTTAGGGTCTTCCTCTGACACCGCCTGGTATAGAGGTCCTGGATGGCAGGGAGCTCGGTCCCAATGATGTACTACCAGAGTTGTGGACTCCAGTCACAAACTTGATGACTTGAGACTCAACTTGATAGAAAATAAAATAACTTGACTTGGACTCAAAACTGATGACTTGAAATTATCTGGCAAGGTTTTGTAAAGTTTTGGCACTCATTTTGTGGCACAGAGTCTCTGTGGATTACTCAGCCAGAGACAGTAGGCACAGCGTCATCCTTGCAAAAAACGCACACCCGGCCCTCTGATTGGACCAGCAAACTGTCAATCAACACAGGTCGGGTGAGCTAGCGAGGTAGAAGTTCTGTTTATTTAATTCAATGTATGGTTTCCTTTGTTATGTCGATAGTTTGTTGATATTTCCCGGGTTATGTCGATAGTTTGTTGATATTTCCCGGGTTATGTCGATAGTTTGTTGATATTTCCCGGGTTATGTCGATGGTTTGTTCAAATTACTCGGGTTATGTCGATGGTTTGTTCAAATTACCCGGGTTATGTCGATAGTTTGCTCATATTTCCCGGGTTATGTCGATAGTTTGCTCACAAGCATTTCGCTACACCCGCAAAAACATCTGCTAAACGCGTGCATGTGACAAATAAAATGTGATTTTGATTTGATATTTCCAGGGTTATGTCAATAGTTTGGTCATAGTTGTTGTTCGTAATAGGAGGGCGATTAGAGATAAGCTATGTGGTTGAAATCTTTGCCGCCTCCTGAGGGGGAAGAGGCGTTTGTCGTGCCCTCTTCACGACTGTGTTGGTGTGTTTGGACCATGACAGATCCTTAGTAACAGTAGAGTAGATACATCTATATACAGTACGGTCTTCTGTAGTAAAGGATCCATATAAAATCATCTAGTAACTGGGACGTTGTCAACGCCTGGGTCTCAAATGGCACCTATTCCCTATATAGTGCACTGCTTTTGACCAGAGCCCCATTTCTGCACTCTATAAGGAATAGGGTGCCATTTGGGAAGTTTTCAATGTGTTAGTGAGTAGTGAAGAGACCCCGTGTGTGTGCGGCTCCTTTAAAACCTAGTCCTGCTATTAGGCTGCTTTACATTCCCCCATAACCACACTGTATATCACTGTGACCCTCAGGGAAGGGAGGGAGGGAGTGAGGGAGGGAGGGAGGGAGGGAGGGAGGGAGGGAGGGAGGGGAAGTAAGTTAATGAAATAGAGAGAAGTTAGAGAATTCCTCTAGTTGTTGCTGATGCAGCTAGTCAGTTGAGAGAGATAGTGAGAGGAACAGGGAGGAGAGAGAATTAATAACCAAAATATGTGGAGCAGTTCTATCAGTGTATGAAACACAAAAAGCTCCTTTAGTTCCTGTTCCATTACCAGAAAAGGTGTTAAACTGCCTGTAAAACCTCAACCCTACTGTGCCAGACCCTCTCCAAAGGCCTAGTGTCCAGAAACACTATGTTTTATCCCCCTCTCTCTCTCTGTCTCTCTCTCTCTCTCTCTCTCTCTCTCTCTCTCTCTCTCTCTCTCTCTCTCTCTCTCTCTCTGTCTCTGTCTCTGTCTCTGTCTCTGTCTCTGTCTCTGTCTCTGTCTCTGTCTCTCTCTCTCTCTCTCCGTCTCTCTCTCTCTCTCTCTCTCTCTCTCTCTCTCTCTCTCTCTCCTCTCTCTCTCTCTCTCTCTCTCTCTCTCTCTCTCTCTCTCTCTCTCTCCCTCTCTCTCCCCCTCCCCCTTCCCCTCCCTCTCTCCCCCTCCCTCCCTGTGGGTCTGTAACTGTGTGGTTTTGTAGAGTGGACCCCAGCTAGGCAGGGGGGCCTATTAGACCCACTAGACGGCCCCTAACATCTTTACAGCCCAGGTCTCTCATAAAAAACACTGGTGCCCGTATTGGTAGATTTGTCTTCACATGCAGTGAAGGTGTAGTAAAACATGTCAATCTTCTTGAAAATGTCAACCTTTATCCTTTTGTTCAATGGCAAAGTAACCTAGCTACTGCTACAATAGACCAACATAGCTACTGTAGTAGGTCAAAGCTGTGTGCTGGAAAACCTTAGTAGAGCATGGGTGCTGTGTTCTGTAAAACCTTGGTAGAGCATGGGTGCTGTGTTCTGTAAAACCTTGGTAGAGCATGGGTGCTGTGTTCTGTAAAACCTTGGTAGAGCATGGGTGCTGTGTTCTGTAAAACCTTGGTAGAGCATGGGTGCTGTGTTCTGTAAAACCTTGGTAGAGCATGGGTGCTGTGTTCTGTAAAACCTTGGTAGAGCATGGGTGCTGTGTTCTGTAAAACCTTGGTAGAGCATGGGTGCTGTGTTCTGTAAAACCTTGGTAGAGCATGGGTGGAGTAGACATTGTGGTGCTCATGTGAATTTCCTGTCTTTTTCAGGATTCAGTCCTACTACTACCTAAAACGTAGTTGATAGTTAATACCATGGTAATTACACAGTAGTATACTTCAACTTTGAGGTGAAAGCTATATCTACTCATTCAATATCTTGCATGTTAGATCAAAGATATTACTATCTGCTTTTATTGTTTTGTACTTTTATGAAACTCCTTTTGTACTAAATCATCACCCCTGATGTCAAAGCTATAAATAGGCTTTTAAATCAACAATACAGTACATATGAACAAACTGTTTATTTTACCATGTGAAAATACTAAACATTTCTCCCTCCCCTCTCTTCACAGCTGACCCAGTGGATGTACTCAAGGCTCTGGACTTTCACAGCTCCCCGGATGGCGTCCGTAAAGCTACGGGCCTCTGCGCTCACCGGAGAGGATCTAAACCCGACAAAGCCTTCCGCGTGGGGAAGCAGGCCCAGATCAGCGCTCCCACCAAGCAACTCTTCCCAGGTGATCTGGAGAGACAGAAACACACACGCACGCACGCACGCACTCACACACACACACACACACACACTCACACTCACACTCACACACAAACACACTCACACACACACACTCACTCACTCACTCACTCACTCACTCACTCACTCACTCACTCACTCACTCACTCACTCACTCACTCACTCACTCACTCACTCACTCACTCACTCACACACACACACACACACACACACACACACACACACACACACACACACACACACACACACACACACACACACACACACACACACACACACACACACACACACACAAACCTCAGTTAAGTTGATTTACCACACACTCACTGTAAGCAGAGTAAACCTGTCTCGTATTTGCCAGAACAGGATTTATCCAGTGTGACGTTTAATAAAAAATGCGTTGGCTTTGGGATGCCAGACTAGGGCTACGCATTTGGCAGGAAGTTAGAAATCTATCCAGGGGGCCGGGGTTTCTTCTTCTTCTTCTTCTTCTTCTTCTTCTTCTTCTTCTTCTTCTTCTTCTTCTTCTTCTTCTTCTTCTTCTTCTTCTTCTTCTTACTCACTGAATGCACAAAGCAGTCATAGGCTACGTCCCAAATTGAACCCTACTCTCTATTTAGTGCATTACTTTTGACCAGATCCCTATGGGCCACTGCCATAGCTTTAGACTAGGTGGAGGTCTGATGCCCAGGTGGAGGTGTGATGCCCAGGTGGAGGTCTGATGCCAAGGTGGAGGTCTGATGCCCAGCACTAGGTGGAGGTCTGATGCCCAGTTGGAGGTATGATGCCCAGGTGGAGGTCTGATGCCCAGGTGGAGGTCTGATGCCCAGCACTAGGTGGAGGTCTGATGCCCAGCACTAGGTGGAGGTCTGATGCCCAGGTGGAGGTCTGATGCCCAGCACTAGGTGGAGGTCTGATGCCCAGGTGGAGGTCTGATGCCCAGGTGGAGGTCTGATGCCCAGCACTAGGTGGAGGTCTGATGCCCAGCACTAGGTGGAGGTCTGATGCCCAGCACTAGGTGGAGGTCTGATGCCCAAGTGGAGGTCTGATGCCCAGCACTAGGTGGAGGACTTGATGTGACAAACACACCTGCATTCATCAGAGGCATTTTGGAGAGACAGAAAGCTATTTGATAGTGTTTGAATTCCAAATGGCACCACACACTATTCCCTATTTAGTGCACCTCACACGGAATATGGTGTCATTTGGGACATATCCAGTGTCTCCATAGGGGTGTGCTACTGTCCTAAACTGCTTACTGTTCAAGCAGTTAATCCACAGTACTGACAATAAACAACAGCGGAATACATCTAATGACCATGTGTCATTAGTTGTAACAGTATAACACTTCTAACCTGCTGAATGAATAACTGAGACAATAGGGCCTACCCTGTAGAGATTAATGAATTGAGGGAAAAGGACCTTCCCTGTAGGGATTAATGAATTGAGGGAAAAGGACCTTCCCTGTAGGGATTAATGAATTGAGGGAAAAGGGCCTTCCCTGTAGGGATTAATGAATTGAGGGAAAAGGGCCTTCCCTGTAGGGATTAATGAATTGAGGGAAAAGGGCCTTCCCTGTAGGGATTAATGAATTGAGGGAAAAGGTCCTTCCCTGTAGGGATTAATGAATTGAGGGAAAATGACCTTCCCTGTAGGGATTCATGAATTGAGGGGAAATGACCTTCCCTGTAGGGATTAATGAATTGAGGGAAAAGGGCCTTCCCTGTAGGGATAAATTAATTGAGGGGAAATGACCTTCCCTGTAGGGATTAATTAATTGAGGGAAAAGGACCTTCCCTGTAGGGATTAATGAATTGAGGGGAAATGACCTTCCCTGTAGGGATTAATGAATTGAGGGGAAATGACCTTCCCTGTAGGGATTAATGAATTGAGGGAAAAGGGCCTTCCCTGTAGGGATCTCAACTCGGTACCTAATGGCAGTCAGGCTACCTCTGGCGAGCACATGGAGGGCTGTGCGGCCCCCCAAATAAATGCCACCCCACACCATGACTGACCCACCGCCAAACCGGTCATGCTGGAGGATGTTGCAGGCAGCAGAACATTCTCCACGGCGTCTCCAGACTCTGTCACGTCTGTCACATGCTCAGTGTGAACCTGCTTTCATCTGTGAAGAGCACAGGGCGCCAGTGGCGAATTTGCCAATTCTCTGGCAAATGCCAAACGTCCTGCACGGTGTTGGGCTGTAAGCACAACCCCCACCTGTGGATGTCGGGCCCTCATACCACCTTTATGGAGTCTGTTTCTGACCGTTTGAGCAGACACATGCACATTTGTGGCCTGCTGGAGGTCATTTTGCAGGGCTCTGGCAGTGCTCCTCCTGCTCCTCCTTGCACAAAGGCGGAGGTAGCGGTCCTGCTGCTGGGTTGTTGCCCTCCTACGGCCTCCTCCACGTCTCCTGATGTACTGGCCTGTCTCCTGGTAGCGCCTCCATGCTCTGGACACTACGCTGACAGACACAGCAAACCTTCTTGCCACAGCTCGCATTGATGTGCCATCCTGGATGAGCTGCACTACCTGAGCCACTTGTGTGGGTTGTAGACTCCGTCTCATGCTACCACTAGAGTGAAAGCACCAGCAGCATTCAAAAGTGACCAAAACATCAGCCAGGAAGCATAGGAACTGAAAGTGGTCTGTGGTCACCACCTGCAAAACCAGTTCTTTATTGGGGGTGTCTTGCTAATTTCCTATAATTTCCACCTGTTGTCTATTCCATTTGCACAACAGCATGTGAAATGTATTGTCAATCAGTGTTGCTTCCTAAGTGGACAGTTTGATTTCACAGAAGTGTGATTGACTTGGAGTTACATTGTGTTGTTTAAGTGTTCCCTTTATTTTTTTGAGCAATGTACTATTTGGAAACGTAGGGCAACGACCAAGCATTTATTAGCTAAAAGGATAAATGAAGGACAAAGTTGGTTCTTGTCCGTTGGAGTCGTGTGCCCTCTTTCTGGTTGAAAAGACAGGACAGTTTAAGACGCTAGTTGCCTACTTGGCCCATACTGGCAGGATACTGTATACAACTTTACTAGAAACAGTGGCTTGTTACATACTTTCTCCCCGTCTGTGAGTGTTGGTGCTTTGCCAAATTTCCCAGACAGCAAAGGAAAAATAAAGGCAGAACATAGCAGGAGATTCAATTAACAATTAGATTTGCTGTGATTTTTGGCCAAAAATAATTGCCTGGAAACTTTACTGGTTTAAAGACTGGAAATTTCAGTCAAAATAGGCTCAAATAAGATTGAATGGAGTGGAGTACAGTTTCCCATTTTTTTTTAAAATTGGCAATGGTAGCAGTCTGTCAGAGTGCTCTGTCTAAGGAGAACAATTAAGCTTTTATTATTAATTACAATTATTATTATTATTATTATTATTATTATTATTATTATTATTACATCATCACCAGCAGCCTAGTATTCTTTTTGTTCTAGTTAATCGTTTAGTTAAAGAACTAAATTTTTTAGGTTTATTCTCTTTCACACGCCTTGTAAAATTAATGTTCCAATTAGATCACTTCTGACTTTCAAGATTAGCCAGCTGCTCTTAGACGTTCTTAAAGTACGCGGCAACAAAGGACACTTTTAAACTTAAATTAAGTTCTTTAGTATCTACTATAATTGGGATAAAAGTAATGGTACAAATCTGTAATTTTACGAGCCTGACCCTGCCACTTCGTCTGGTAAGCTAAGGGATGATGCTGGGGGAAATGTAACCTCTCTCAAGTAGACAAAGCTATGGACGTGAGGGCTAACAGTCCATGAGATTAACGTGATCATTTTTAATGTGTCCTCAAGGATGGGTGCAAATAAGGGCAAGCCTTGAAATCTGTTATTGTTGATGTATATAAACAAGAAGTCTCCCAGAAATATGATGATGTCATTAGGGCTGTAACGGTCATGGAATTTTGGATGACGGTTATTGGTGAGCCAAATGACCGCGGATCCGTTCTAACCGTTCGAATAGCAAAATATATGCAAATGTTCTCCTCTCCTCCGCTCCTGACTGCATGTGCTGCTGCTGCAGGGGAGGGGGGGTGTTGTCTAGGCAACCAAAGACTTGTTTGCTACAACACCTTGCTTGTTTCAACAAGGAGCAATAAAAGTTTCATCACGTTGTTAAGAGTCCATGTTACCGCAGAAACGGACTTAACCAACCGATTTCCCAGCCGTCCCTTCTTCAGTCAGCTGTTTGTTCCACACAAAACATTATTATTATTATTATTATTATTATTATTATTATTATTATTATTATTGTTGTTGTTGTTGTTGTTGTTGTTGTATTTGTCAGCCCTAGTGTGTCTGTCTGTATTCTACTTTCCGGAAGCTGTGTTTTCTTTTTTGTCTTTTTTGTCTTCAAAAGCATTTTTTTGTCCCGGTATTTTTATTTTATTACAACAGTTATGAAAGTTATTTTATTTTCATGATTGTCTTCATCCATAGCCGTCGGTTATAAGGTTATACTTTAATTGTGCCAGGCCTAGATGTCATATTACTGTGTCCACCTCTATCCTCTCTAACTCTTCTGTGTTTGATGATGTCATATTACCACGTCCACCTCTATCCTCTCTAACTCTTCTGTGTTTGATGATGTCATATTACTGTGTCCACCTCTATCCTCTCTAACTCTTCTGTGTTTGATGATGTCATATTACCACGTCCACCTCTATCCTCTCTAACTCTTCTGTGTTTGATGATGTCATATTACTGTGTCCACCTCTATCCTCTCTAACTCTTCTGTGTTTGATGATGTCATATTACTGTGTCCACCTCTATCCTCTCTAACTCTTCTGTGTGTGATGATGTCATATTACTGTGTCCACCTCTATCCTCTCTAACTCTTCTGTGTTTGATGATGTCATATTACTGTGTCCACCTCTATCCTCTCTAACTCTTCTGTGTTTGATGATGTCATATTACTGTGTCCACCTCTATCCTCTCTAACTCTTCTGTGTTTGATGATGTCATATTATCACGTCCACCTCTATCCTCTCTAACTCTTCTGTGTGTGATGATGTCATATTACTGTGTCCACCTCTATCCTCTCTAACTCTTCTGTGTTTGATGATGTCATATTATCACGTCCACCTCTATCCTCTCTAACTCTTCTGTGTTTGATGATGTCATATTACTGCAGGGGAGGGGGGGTGTTGTCTAGGCAACCAAAGACTTGTTTGCTACAACACCTTGCTTGTTTCAACAAGGAGCAATAAAAGTTTCATCACGTTGTTAAGAGTCCATGTTACCGCAGAAACGGACTTAACCAACCGATTTCCCAGCCGTCCCTTCTTCAGTCAGCTGTTTGTTCCACACAAAACATTATTATTATTATTATTATTATTATTATTATTATTATTATTGTTGTTGTTGTTGTTGTTGTTGTTGTATTTGTCAGCCCTAGTGTGTCTGTCTGTATTCTACTTTCCGGAAGCTGTGTTTTCTTTTTTGTCTTTTTTGTCTTCAAAAGCATTTTTTTGTCCCGGTATTTTTATTTTATTACAACAGTTATGAAAGTTATTTTATTTTCATGATTGTCTTCATCCATAGCCGTCGGTTATAAGGTTATACTTTAATTGTGCCAGGCCTAGATGTCATATTACTGTGTCCACCTCTATCCTCTCTAACTCTTCTGTGTTTGATGATGTCATATTACCACGTCCACCTCTATCCTCTCTAACTCTTCTGTGTTTGATGATGTCATATTACTGTGTCCACCTCTATCCTCTCTAACTCTTCTGTGTTTGATGATGTCATATTACCACGTCCACCTCTATCCTCTCTAACTCTTCTGTGTTTGATGATGTCATATTACTGTGTCCACCTCTATCCTCTCTAACTCTTCTGTGTTTGATGATGTCATATTACTGTGTCCACCTCTATCCTCTCTAACTCTTCTGTGTGTGATGATGTCATATTACTGTGTCCACCTCTATCCTCTCTAACTCTTCTGTGTTTGATGATGTCATATTACTGTGTCCACCTCTATCCTCTCTAACTCTTCTGTGTTTGATGATGTCATATTACTGTGTCCACCTCTATCCTCTCTAACTCTTCTGTGTTTGATGATGTCATATTATCACGTCCACCTCTATCCTCTCTAACTCTTCTGTGTGTGATGATGTCATATTACTGTGTCCACCTCTATCCTCTCTAACTCTTCTGTGTTTGATGATGTCATATTATCACGTCCACCTCTATCCTCTCTAACTCTTCTGTGTTTGATGATGTCATATTACTGTGTCCACCTCTATCCTCTCTAACTCTTCTGTGTGTGATGATGTCATATTACTGTGTCCACCTCTATCCTCTCTAACTCTTCTGTGTGTGATGATGTCATATTACTGTGTCCACCTCTATCCTCTCTAACTCTTCTGTGTTTGATGATGTCATATTACTGTGTCCACCTCTATCCTCTCTAATTATTATGTGTTTGATGATGTCATATTGCTAAGCTAACCTATCTACTTGTTGTTCGCCCACCACTAACCTTCTTCCCTTTACTTTTGGCACTACACATTGGTGATTACCAAGGAGTTTGACAGTGTAACAGCTAGTGGGGATCCAAATAAACAGAACCAATCAGATGAATAATGAACCTCTCTAAACCTCTCTAAACTCTTATTTTGCTCCTCTCACCAGGAGGAGTGTTCCCAGAGGACTTCTCCGTGATGTTCACCATCAAGCCCAAGGCCGGCAGCCAGTCCTTCCTGCTGTCTGTGTATAACGAGAAGGGGGTACAGCAGCTGGGTGTGGAGGTGGGACGCTCCCCTGTCTTCCTGTACGAAGACCAACATGGGAAACCTGCGCCAGAGGAGTACCCACTGTTCAGATCCATCAACCTCGCTGACGGCAAGTAAGTGATGTCTGAGACACCTGAGGAACTCATCACTACCGTATCACAAAGCAAAGCCTTTTCTGTTACGGACAAGGTTTGGGTCGGGGGAAAAGGTATATGCACTGTCTGGGTTAGTTTTAGGATTTCTCTTTCCTCAGGTAAGTAACTGAAGTTTGGCCTTTCACTTGGGTGACTGGACCCAAACCTACGAAAGGTTAGGAGATGGTCATTGGTGGGCCAGTTGTATGCTTGTTGTGCTTTGATGTTCGGCGCAGTGGTCTAAGGCGCTGCATCGCAGTGCTAGCTGTGCCACTAGAGATCCTGGTTCGAATCCAGGCTCTGTCGTAGCCGGCCGCGACCGGGAGACCCATGGGGCGGCGCACAATTGGCCCAGCGTCGTCCAGGGTAGGGGAGGGAATGGCCGGCAGGGATGTAACTCAGTTGGTAGAGCATGTTGTTTGCAACGCCAGGGTTGTGGGTTTGATTCCCAAGGGGGGCCAGTTTGAAAAATAAACTAACTGTAAGTCGCTCTGGATAAGAGCGTCTGCTAAATGACTAAAATGTAAAATGTAATGTTGTAGAAGGAGGACTGTGCAGGAGAGGGTCTGTGGCATTGCTGTGTTCGTACTGTAGACACACTCCACACCACATAAAGCCATGTTTTACAAGATGGCCGACCGGATCGAAGCGTTCTGAGTTCTCAAGAATGTATTTAAGGGCTTCTCAGCAGACCCAAACAAACCACTGACAATTCACAATTATTAGATTGACATGCTTCATTGTTTAGTTATTGGTAACATAAGGAATATAACTGTGGGAGGCTGTATTTTTGAGTAACCCATTTATTTATTTGGCAGGGTTTTAATGACAAACAGTTTTTGCCAAATTATTTACAGCTGTCTATATTGTTGATGTGTAGTAAACTATCAAAATAAAAGAGTTTGAGCTTCATAAATTACTTAAACTGTAACATTAATATTCTGACTGTGAACTCTTTGCTAATATGAAACATTTTGCAAGAACGTGTCTGATACAATTGTCTACAGTGAAATGAAACGTTGCGTTGGTATGTGACATGAATGTCTGTAGTTGATTTATCTGTTTTCCAGACCTTGTAAAGTAGAGTTAGCCTGTTTCAATTACTGTACTTTTATTGTTTTATTGTTTATCTAGCTAGGAATGTTTCTGAGAAGAACAAAATTATCTTCAGTAAGAACAACCTAGTTTTAAGTTTTAAATCTCTTGGCATCTCTGTGACTATACCAGACTGTAGATCATCTCTGTGACTATACCAGACTGTAGATCATCTCTATGACTATACCAGACTGTAGATCATCTCTGACTATACCAGACTGTAGATCATCTCTGACTATACCAGACTGTAGATCATCTCTCTGACTATACCAGACTGTAGATCATCTCTATGACTATACCAGACTGTAGATCATCTCTATGACTATACCAGACTGTAGATCATCTCTGACTATACCAGACTGTAGATCATCTCTGACTATACCAGACTGTAGATCATCTCTATGACTATACCAGACTGTAGATCATCTCTGACTATACCAGACTGTAGATCATCTCTGACTATACCAGACTGTAGATCATCTCTCTGACTATACCAGACTGTAGATCATCTCTATGACTATACCAGACTGTAGATCATCTCTATGACTATACCAGACTGTAGATCATCTCTGACTATACCAGACTGTAGATCATCTCTGACTATACCAGACTGTAGATCATCTCTGACTATACCAGACTGTAGATCATCTCTGACTATACCAGACTGTAGATCATCTCTGACTATACCAGACTGTAGATCATCTCTGTGACTATACCAGACTGTAGATCATCTCTGACTATACCAGACTGTAGATCATCTCTGACTATACCAGACTGTAGATCATCTCTGACTATACCAGACTGTAGATCATCTCTGACTATACCAGACTGTAGATCATCTCTGACTATACCAGACTGTAGATGTCCAACCTGTGCTCAGGTTTTACCATTCAACATCAACATATACACCTCATACATTTCATGTTCTCCCCAAATCTCTCATGTTTCTCTAACCCACTTCCTCCTCTGTCCATGTGTAGATGGCATCGCGTGGCCATCAGTGTAGAGAAGAAGAGTGTGACCATCATTGTGGATTGTAAGAAGAAGCTGAGCAGGCCCCTGAAGAGGAGTGACGGGGCAGCCATCAACACTGACGGCATCATTGTCTTTGGAACCAGGATTCTGGATGAAGAAGTCTTTGAGGTAAGAACATTAAAGACCCAGTGCAGGCAAAAATGTGACTTTTCCTGTGTTTTATATATATATATTTCCACACTATGAGGTTGGAATAATACTGTGAAATTGTGAATATTGTAAGGACATTGGCTATTGCTTACTGTGCCACTGTATTGTTGATTTTATATATGGATAGTATGCAGCAAATGTTGGATTGATGCCTTTTTGAGACAGGCCCGTACCCGGGGCAAAAAGGGGGCTTATCATCCTCAGTTTCAGTTTTATGTCCCTATATAAAAATAGCAACAAAGTTCAAATGATTTGAGTGACAGGTTGGCGCAAAATCTGTATCTCCGCTGCGCTGTCAGCTCACCGTGGTGTGTGTAGTGAGGCTATGGAAAGCCACTGGGGAGCAGGGTTTCCGTTAGCCGGTAACTGCCGGCTTTTGGCCGATAGAATAATGAAAAGCCGATAAATAAAATTGTAGCTGGACAAATTATCCCGGGGCTCCCCTGCTGCTGAGGAGAGAGAGGAGGCGAGACAGGAGCCATGGCCTAGGCTACTGTTGATTGCGAAGATGGAGGACGTTTTCATTGAAGCAAAACTAAAGTTAGAGAGTACGCCTGTAGTGAAACGCCTTCAAGCCGGCGCTGCAGGCTGCCATCATTTAGTCGCATTTTGAAACCTGGCGGTGGGAGTTTAAAAAATGTATTGGTTGCATCGGTGCAGGCTGCACATTCATTCAACTCACTAAAAACGTCTTATTTCTTAGGAGGCTAAAACCATGATTTGGTTAAATAGTAAAGTACATTATCCTTGTGATTCCTGTAATGAAAGTGTCTGCCTGCCCCTGTACCTGTTTCTCTGAGGCTTGCTGCTGTGTCCTGCCCCTGTACATGTTTCTCTGGGGCCTGCTGCTGGGGCCTGCCCCTGTACCTGTTTCTCTGGGACCTGCTGTTGGGGCCTGCCCCTGTACATGTTTCTCTGGGGCCTGCCCCTGTACCTGTTTCTCTGGGGCCTGCTGCTGTGGCCTGCCCCTGTACATGTTTCTCTGGGGCCTGCCCCTGTACCTGTTTCTCTGGGGCCTGCTGCTGTGGCCTGCCCCTGTACCTGTTTCTCTGGGGCCTGCTGCTGGGGCCTGCCCCTGTACATGTTTCTCTGGGGCCTGCTGCTGTGGACTGCCCCTGTACCTGTTTCTCTGGGGCCTGCTGCTGTGGCCTGCCCCTGTACCTGTTTCTCTGGGGCCTGCTGCTGGGGCCTGCCCCTGTACATGTTTCTCTGGGGCCTGCTGCTGTGGCCTGCCCCTGTACCTGTTTTCTCTGGGGCCTGCTGCTGTGGCCTGCCCCTGTACCTGTTTCTCTGGGGCCTGCTGCTGGGGCCTGCCCCTGTACCTGTTTCTCTGGGGCCTGCTGCTGGGGCCTGCCCCTGTACCTGTTTCTCTGGGGCCTGCTGCTGTGGCCTGCCCCTGTACCTGTTTCTCTGGGGCCTGCTGCTGGGGCCTGCCCCTGTACCTGTTTCTCTGGGGCCTGCTGCTGGGGCCTGCCCCTGTACCTGTTTCTCTGGGGCCTGTCTAGCGAACCACTCTCTCTCTCTCTCCTTTCCCAGGCGAAAAATAAATGCTCCGGGAGAAAGAAAAGTGTTCTGATTGTATAGCATTTTTTAAAAATAGAATTGCTGGGAAGACACAGCTATCCTATTGTCACAGATGGAGAGAAGATGTTCTCAGCTTTCTGTAGGTATACTGTTTTTTCTCGACTCTCAGTTTTGAGCTCAATAGCAAGTATTTAACAAACATATTTGAAATGGCTTTGAGATACAGAGCATTGGACATTGGCCTCATTGGAAAGTAGGCTTTAACTGCAACGTTTTTGGGGACATTAAATGTACTGTTAGATTAATACATTGCTACTATGAGTGGGTGTTATATTTAGAGTTAGTGATCTAGCTAATGTGTTTTGAGTTTCCACTTACTCATCTCTATAAAAAAAATAAAAAATGAAAAATCATTCTGGAGCCGTATTTTAACAGTAGAATATAGCAACAATAGCCTAGTTGTCTACCCACAATGCATGACGATCACTGGATTAGGTTGCACATAAAACTATTTAGAACCACAACATCACAAGATGATTAAATAACTGTACTTCTTCAACCTCAGCAGTCTATTACACGTTTCATAGAGCTGTGAACGACTTTAGAAGACGATAAGCCTAATCATTTGTTCTATTGCGTGATGCTGGAAAAAACAAACAATTGGTGCGACCAAATCATGGGCTGGTAACACCAACTGAAAAACTTAGTGGCACCAGTGTCACCAGGGAAAATGTTAGTCTGGAGCCCTGCTACAAGGGGAATGTCCTCCATATGGAAAGGTTTTAATATGGTAGTGGACAAAGAAGAGAAGAACATTGGCGCGACCAAAGCAGGATATTGTGAAATTCGCTATTCAGGTAGCATACAATTTTGGAACTTCAATTATTTATTATTTTGGTATGTACAATCATTTGTTTTATTATTATTGTTCTATATACTTGTTATTATTGTAGGCCTATTTATTAATCCAAACCAGTTCTTTGAATATGCAAAAGGTGTTTTGTTTCATTCTGTTGAGACATTGTCATTGACTAAATTAAATTTGATCTGTCTTTTTAATTGTGTGCTCCGTATGTAGTTTAAGATACAGTGCAATCGGAAAGTATTCAGACCCCTTCACTTTTTCCAGATTTTGTTATGTTACAGCCTTATTCTGGTGGTCCTCTGTAGCTCAGCTGGTAGAGCACGGCGCTTGTAACGCCAAGGTAGTGGGTTCGATCCCCGGGACCACCCATACACAAAAAATGTATGCACGCATGACTGTAAGTCGCTTTGGATAAAAGCGTCTGCTAAATGGCATATTATTATTATTATTATTATTATTATAAAATGGATTAAATAAAATATGTTTGTCATCTATCTACACACAATACCCCAAAAAGACCTCCCGAGTGGCGCAGTGGTCTAAGGCACTGCATCGCAGTGCTAGCTGTGCCACTAGAAATCCTGGTTCGTAGCCGGCCACGACCGGGAGACCCATGGGGCGGCGCACAATTGGCCCAGCATCGTCCAGGGTAGGGGAGGGAATGGCCGGCAGGGATGTAGCTCAGTTGGTAGAGCATGGCGTTTGCAACGCCAGGGTTGTGGGTTCGTTTCCCACCGGAGGCCAGTATGAAAAAATGAAATAATAATAATAATAATGTATGCACTCACTAACTGTAAGTCGCTCTGGATAAGAGTGTCTGCTAAATGACTAAAATGTAAATGTAAATGACAAAGTGAAAACAGGTTTTTAGATTTTTTTGCAAATGTATAAAAAATTATAAACAGAAATACCTTATTTACATAAGTATTCAGACCCTTTGCTATGAGACTCAAAATTGAGCTTAGGTGCATCCTGTTTCCATTGATCATCCTTGAGATGTTTCTACAACTTGATTGGAGTCCACCTGTGGTAAATTCAATTGATTGGGCATTCTATATAAGGTCCCACAGTTAACAGTGCATGTCAGAGCAAAAACCAAGCCATGAGGTCGAAATAATTGTCCGTAGAGGTCCGAGACAGGATTGTGTCGAGGCACAGATCTGGGAAAGGGTACCAAAAAATGTCTGCAGCATTGAAGGTCCGCAAGAACACAGTTGCCTCCATCATTCTTAAATGGAAGAAGTTTGGAACCACCAAGACTCTTCCTAGAGCTGGCCGCCTGGCCAAACTGAGCAATCAGGGGAGAAGGGCCTTGGTCAGGGAGGTGACCAACAACCCAATGGTCAATCTGACAGACCTCTAGAGTTCCTCTGTGGAGATGGAAGAAACTTCCAGAAGGACAACTATCTCTGCAGCACTCCACCAATCAGGCCTTTATGGTAAAGTGGCCAGACAGAAGCCACTCCTCAGTAAAAGGCACATGAAAACACACTTGGAGTTTGCCAAAAGGCACCTAAAGGACTCTCAGACCATGAGAAACAAGATTCTCTGGATTGAACTCTAAAGCCTGAATTCCAAGCGTCACGTCTGGAGGAAACCTGCCACCATCCCTACGGTGAAGCATGGTGGTGGCAGCATCATGCTGTGGGGATGTTTTTCAGCGGCAGGGACTAGGAGGCTAGTCAGGATCGAGGGAAAGATGAACGGAGCAAAGTACAGAGAGATCCTTGATGAAGACCTGCTCTAGAGCGTTCAGGACCTCAGACTGGGAGCGAATGTTCACCTTCCAACAGGACAACGACCCTAAGCACACAGCCAAGACAATGAAGGAGTGGCTTTGGGACAAGTCTCTGAATTTCCTTGAGTGGCCCAGCCAGAGCGCGGACTTGAACCCGATCGAACATCTCTGGAGAGACCTGAAAATAGCTGTGCAGCGACGCTCCCAATCCAACCTGACAGAGCTTGAGAGGATCTGTAGGGAAGAAAGGGAGAAACTCCCCAAATACAGGTGTGCCAAGCTTGTTGCGTCATACCCAAGAAGACTTGAGGCTGTAATCGCTGCAAAAGGTGCTTCAACAAAGTACTGAGTAAAGGGTCTGAATACTTATGTAAATGTGATACTTTTATATTTTCATACATTTGCAAACAATTTTAAAAACCAGTTTTTGCTTTGACATGATGGGGTATTGTGTGTAGATTGATGAGGGGGAAAAAACAATTGAATCAATTTTAGAATAAGGCTGTAACGTAACAAAATGTGGAAAAAGTCAAGGGGTCTGAATGCTTTCCCAATGCACTGTAGATTATAAGTAGGCCTATTGTTGAATAAATATCATTAGCCTATCATTAGCTGTAATTTGGTGGGTACGGTAGGCACTAGCCTTTTTTGGTAATTGCTGCAATACAGCCTGTACAAAACTTTTGTGAAGGTTTCTACCAGGTAGCAAGTATTTTGTTCCATTCTGTTGTGCCATTATCTTTGTTTCAAATGAAGTTCCAACTGTTTGCCGCAATGTAATATCCTGCTTTTTATTTTCTTGACTTGACTTTTGATATTACCCTACAAAAGTTTAGAAACATTTGTGAAGGTTTGGTGTGGTTATTAGACTATTATACTACTGGCCTATGACATGAAGGCAGTACGCACCGGCGTAGATCGGTGGTCAGTTTGCTGATTCAGCTGGCCACATGACGTAGATCGGTGGTCAGTTTGCTGATTCAGCTGGCCACATGACGTAGATCGGTGGTCAGTTTGCTGATTCAGCTGGCCACATGACGTAGATCGGTGGTCAGTTTGCTGATTCAGCTGGCCACATGACGTAGATCGGTGGTCAGTTTGCTGATTCAGCTGGCCACATGACGTAGATCGGTGGTCAGTTTGCTGATTCAGCTGGCCACATGACGTAGATCGGTGGTCAGTTTGCTGATTCAGCTGGACACATGAAGTAGATCAGTGGTCAATTTGCTGATTCAGCTGGACACATGATGTAGATCAGTGGTCAATTTGCTGATTCAGCTGGTATGAATGAAAATGCAACCACTCACGTCTTTTAAACATGACTTCAAAAAACATAAGCCTGTGCAACATTAACCAATTAAAAACAGTTCTGTAGCAGTGAGGTTTGTGCAGTAGACTATAGACCCCAATACATTATCACTGCATATTGGCTATGCTTGAATTGACCTGCCAATGTTGTTCTTCTCAGGCCATTTAGAAATTCTATATATTTTAAAATAGGTATATGATCACACTGGTAATATTACTTGTTGTATTACTTGTGAGGCATAGCTGAGTGAGCATAATAATTAGCTTTTTTTTTTTTTTACTGAACTGATGGCCTTCATCTGATGGTCAGTCTGTGGGGAGGGAGGGAGGGAGGGAGGGAGCAGCAGTGAGGCTGCCTCTCACCCAACTCACCGTCCCTCCTCTCTCCCTCCCTCCGCTGAGAAAAGGGGACACAGTCTTCCAGCTGATGGCGAAACTCAAGTCCCACTGCATTATTTCTGCCTCATGCACCAACTCATGTTGTTACTGCTATGACCAGAGAAAGTGAAATATTCTGCGATATTAAAAAAAAGACACAAGCTGCTAATAATAACAACGCAAGCTTCTCGGAACACTTTGCTGTACTCATTCATTGCAGCTGCAGTGCTGGTTGTAGGGTGAGTGGAAGTAGGGAGAACGCACATTTTATGGCTTAAAGTGTTGAACAAAGTGTTGACAGTGTTTAATAATAACTTAACCATGAACTTACTCGTACCTCTTTGCTGTATTCGTTGAGTCTCTCTCTAGTCATGGTTTTAAACGTTTTGACATTTCACAGTATCAACTTTGCTGTGCGTTCAAGTCTTCTTTTTACAATCTATGGCTCGAGGGAACTGTGCAGACACGGTGATCTGAGCTATCTGATTGGCCAGCGGTAGGCCTGTAGGTGCACTTGATTTGCTCTCTGGGCCTGCCGGGTAGGCAGAGATTTACCTTCAGTTCTACCTTCAGCCGAAGGGCTGCTGAATCAAGTGCACCTACCGCCAACAGCGGTGATCGACTAGAAATGCCTTGGTGACCACTGACATAGATGAATGTGGATGGATCTTATTGAAGGCATGCTGTATTTCAATTGGTCTCAATTATACTATTATCCAGCATGCATTGGAGTCTACTGGCAGTGAGTAATGTTAGGAGTCGTAAAGTTAATTTGTCTTCAGAAACCAGTTTCTTTATTCTTTCATAAATTTTGTAGTTTTATGGACCATATAACAACAGTACTTGGCTTTCTGCGCTTGGGTAAAGCCCTGCACTGTGTCAAGGGAAAATGGTAGTTGTTTATGACTTTAAATGAGTTTTTCCCCCCTAAAAGAGTGGTAGGAATTGAGAAGAAAGTCTACATAGAAGTCTGAAATAAGAACATGCTATGAGGGAGCATATTAAGGATAATTTCTATTTCCAACTCAGTTGTTGTCATGGAGGTTGTTTGTGACATAGAACGTGCTGAGAGTTTTCAGTCATGAATAATATTGTCACTGAGTTACTGTCAGTTTTACTACTACAAAATGTCTTTATTTTGAGTCACCGGAGGACAAGGGGATTCATGGGGTGCAAAACCTCAGAAAGTCAAGAAATAGGAATTGTGAATTTAATTGGCAGAGTTATGAGATGATTATGGCGTGAACAATGTAGCTCAGATCCAAGAAGTATTTCATGGTATCCAATCCTAACATACATTAAAGAGCAAATTGACCTGTATAGCTCTCATTACACTTGACTTGATAACACTGGAGGTCAGACAATGTATCTTAGCTGTGAACCCAGCTTCAAGAAATGCCTTGATGTAGCTTGGAGGCTTTCGGGAATTATTTAATGATATCCGCAAATGGACCACCATTGTTGCTCTAGTTACTCCCAATGATAGACGACCGACCCATTCTCCTTAGCTCTTAACCCAGCTTTACCACAGACAGGTAGCTGTGAGGTCTATGGAAACTATGAGCGGCATGCTATGCTACGGTACGATACGTTACCTGACAAGACGGCGGCAGGTAGCTGTGAGGTCTATGGAAACTATGAGCGGCATGCTATGCTACGGTACGATACGTTACCTGACAAGACGGCTGCAGGTAGCTGTGAGGTCTATGGAAACTATGAGCGGCATGCTATGCTACGGTACGATACGTTACCTGACAAGACGGCGGCAGGTAGCTTAGTGGTTAAGAGCGTTGTGCCAGTAATCGAAAGGTCGCTGGTTCCGAGCCGACTAGGTGAAAAATCTGTCGATGTGCCCTTGAGCAAGGCACTTAACCCTAATTGCTCCTGTAAGTCGCTCTGGATAAGAGCGTCTGCTAAATGACAAAAAATAAAAAAAATAAAAATGACAATAGCCCCATTCTGTCTTGATATTGAGAGGGAAGCACTAAACTGAAAATATGTTGCCTACATGTGTGGACAGCTAGCCAGCTATTTCTGCATTTAACCATACACCATATAGAGTACAAATGAATGGTTAGCATTTAGCTAATTAGCATTGGCACTCTCACCACCACCACAGATATTTTAAATTCTGGTTTGAGGCCAAGTTCGGCGCTATGTGGGTGTTCTTTGTTTGAATGTAAATTACGCTAAACTGAGTGGAATTATAGAGCAATTTGGCCTCTCTTTTTCTCTGTTTAGAAACGATGAGAAGAGAAAATGATTTTGTTTGTGCCGGGGGGGGGGAATCCGGTTCGCACGTTGGAAGGCGGTTGGTTTCCTTTGGAGCTCTCTAGCCGCTAGCTAGCGGTGCTGTGGTGACTGAGAGAGACTTATGTAGTGCACTACTTTTGACCAGGGCCCATAATGCACTATGTAGGGAATAGGGTGCCATTTGGGACACAGACGAGAGCTATTTCTTCAGCTGTAATCATTTCCACTTCAACTTTAATAGCCTTTGGGTTTGTTGATTGTAATCTTTAAGCAAGCTGCACGCTAATGACCAGCCAAACAGAGTCAGAGGGAAATCCCCTCTAATAGGATGGTGTTGGTTGTAGTTTAGTGACTGAGGATCGAGACTCAGGGATTTGCAGCCCTCCAAGGTAGACAAAGTGTTCACAAACGCAGCTGTTGAAACGAGGCCAGCAAACTTTAATCCGTT